CCCCCACAAAAAACTTCCTCAAAATTGTGTTAATTAAACAATGACAGTGCAACGTTCACAGAATCCTAATATACGCTATTGCATCGTACTGAAATTTGACCAATTATGAAGATTTATTAGATTTCAGCCGGACTGAATATTCAAATTGCATTCATCTTAAAGCATTTTGGAATGTGAATATTCAAAAATCTCCTGACGTGCAGTAACTTTCATGTGGTTTCCGTTTGTCTGGTCTTTAATTTAGAAACACATCCGAAGATATTCAAAAATCGATTCGTAACTCTAGTGAGAAGAATTCAAAAATATGACTCAAATTATGATCAAAAATTAGAATAATTCGATGACGGAATTTGTATAATTTTATAGCATAAAAGGAATGGGAAATGAACAACATGTATATTGTTCACTAGGACGTTGTGCGTTACGCACACTGAGTTGATTTTAGGTTGGGGTTTTTCAGCGCAACGACTGTCAAAGTAAGACAAACGTGAGGAGAGCAAGAAGTGGTGAAAATGAGCGAATTTATCTTACAGCTCGAACCGGCTGAGAAAATCGTCTTCTCGGGTAAGCTCGGCGAGGAAGCTGTCCCAACAGCGCTTAAAATCACCAATACCACAAAGGTAACAATAAGTTTTGGTTCTGCCTTCATCACATGAAACAAATGGTGAATTTCATTCATCAAATGATCAGTGACAATTGAATTTGATCCATATCAGGTCCTGCCCGATACGTCAAGATTCATTCGTCTGACTTGATCGCTGATGGGATTTGTGGTGATCCCGTTGACTATGATTATAGAGATTTATTTCAATGTTCGTATCCAAACTGCTTTCGTAATATTCGAAAATTTTCAGGATCGACAAGTATGCAAAGTAAAATGCACCTCGAACGAAATGTTCCGAATTAGACCTCCTGTTTTCGCCTTAAAAGCTGGCGAAGAAGGCACTGTTAAGGTTTTCGTTACACTTCATCCTCTGAGAGTCTTTGCCAGGTTTTCCCATGTCAGCTGATTGGAAATATTACTTGGATTGCCTCAAAGGCCTCTAAGAAACCTGCTAAATGAACATATGGTGAAGCTGGTCACAGTATCACTTGTGCAGTACGTGATGGTGTGAATTAGAGAATGAGACGCATCGAAAAGAGCTGGTGAAAGGAGAGGAAGAGTCATGAGAGCGATGATCAGTACTGCTGATCAATAAAATCATATCATAGTGTCACTCAGATTATGATTTCTGATATCTTCAACAAACAAATAGGTGTTAGAAGGCGAGGAATTCCAAGCGTACAGTACTAGAAACATAGACTGTGATAAATGAATGACTTCAGTTGACTTTCAATGCCGGTAAGACGGTGCCTGAAAATGGCAAGCATTATTTTGTGGTGTATTATATCAAATCGGATGATGAATCGAAAGCACCCAGAGCTTGTTGGGCAGATCATAAAGAGGGTCCGGATGGAACGAAACGGTTTGTTCATCACTCAAACATTTCTTGAGAGTTTAGTGGAATTCTGAAGGGTTCCATGATGAAATGAGTGATGGAACTCATCATGTCATAAGTGACATCTTGTTCTTGAGTCTACTTCCGATATTGTCCATCTAATCTAGTTTTGTTCGACGCAGTATTTACAGTGGTATGACCCATAACAGATTATCAACTTGCATTTTGTGAATTACAGTAATGGCTTATCTTGTAGGCTTTACGTTGATTTCAAAGATGAAGGAGAAGGTGGTGAAGGAGGTGAGAAAAAGGAAGGGGAAGGGGAAGGGGAAAAGAAGGAGGGAGAAGGAGAGAAGAAGGAAGGAGAAGGGGAGAAAAAGGAGGGAGAAGGAGAGAAGAAGGAAGGAGAAGGGGAGAAGAAGGAAGGCGAAGGAGAGAAGAAGGAAGGGGATGGCGAAAAGAAGGAGGGTGAAGAAGAGAAGAAGGAGGGCGAAGGAGAAAAGAAGGAAGAAGAGAAAAAAGAGGAGGAAAAGGTGAAGTTTACGGTAATCGTGAGATGGCCATACAGTGTTTTCTTCAGTGAACCTTCTCTGTTCACGTCAGTTTTATAACAACATACGGTAACTCTGAGGATGTATAATCCGAGTTAATGTTATTGCACACAGACGACAGAAAGGTCCTCGATTTCAGATATGTAATCATGAGGTAGTCTGAGGCATGGTCGATGAGATTGAGCGTTACTTTGAGCATTAATCGTAAGTATTAGGTATATTGAGTATTAAGTAATCTGCATTGAGTGTCACTTTCATGCCGCATGCATCCAGTTTCAAACGTGATCTTTCAGAAAGAAGACGGTCAAAAGGCCGATGAGAAAAAGGAGGGGGAAGGCGAAAAGAAAGACTGAATTCATATTAAAATATATCTCAAAATGTGATATCTTCTTACGTGGCGTTGAAACGTTTCGTTTCGTTTCGATTATTTTCGTTTATCAATAATTCGTACAAATCATTCCTTATGTCCTGAATTTCCAATAAATTCTTAAAATAGGCTTGTTCTGTCGACTAGTTCCTCTCAAACGCCTCATCATGGCTCATATGTAGCAGAATAAAGATTTTTTTCAATTCGTCCCAGCAATCTATTGCTTACTCCCCGAGTTCAACAATTCAGAATCTGCAGCTTTCCATCAAATGCCCATTGAATGCATCACTGATTGTAATATGAATAAAACTGAAAGATTTACAAGCAACTAGCAATAAGTAAATTTCTATGATGTTGCTATTTATTAAATTTGCAAGCAAGCAAATCTTGTTACTAGATTGATAAGCAAGAAATCAATGAATTTCATGTTTTATCACCCGTCTCAAAGGTGGTTTGTTGTTGGTTTTTAGAAATTTCACCTTTTAACTGAGAAATTTTCAATTCTTCTGCTCGCTTTCATTTCTTACTGTCATCATGATGTACATGATGCTGCTTTATGACCAACTCAAATCGGAGTAGCTTCGTAGTATATGCTGGTCCATGAAAATGGATAATGAAGCAACTGACCGACTAAAGTCAAACAGATATCAGTTACATCACAAAAGGACATGTCCATGCATACTATTCTTCTAATAGTGGATCTTCTGAATCCAGTTCTGTAATGTAAATGACTGATTGTAAGTAAAATCAAACAAACAAGTAGACTGAAAGTGGCACTTCTTGTAATTCTGCAGTAGTGCACTGAATGATCAACATGAAGAGCAAATGCACAGCGCTTGGCGGTCCAGTGAATTAGCTCAGCTAACAAGACATTCATCTCCATGATATCAATTACATCACGAAAGGACATAGAATCTATTTATCCATGTCCATTTCGGTACTGATAGTGATGGTAGTGATCCTAATGCATACTATTACAGTCCAGAAGATATTGTGGCTACGCGTTCTTCTGTCATCAAGGCGAACAATTTCTTTGAATAATGTCAGCAATTGAGATTCATTCATCAAATATCAAAGAAACGATAGACAACGATATGATTCAGTCAAGTGATACCAGGAGCTCCTTATTGCCCAGCCTCAATCCTCAACTACTTGATTTTCTTTACGATGTACAGAACGACAAGTTGAACGATGACCTGCGGCGACTTGAAATTGAATTTGGAATCAATCGGGAACAGGTTGGGATCAAAACGTTGAGAAAATTGTTCAATGGAAACTGAAATTGCTCCTTTGAGTTTATCGTTTTCCGTTTTGACACACATTAAGAGCTGATTATGCATCGCTTTGCTGACAAATCAAACCCCAAAACTGATTGAAGAATCGCAGATAATTCAAAGAAGCTTGAAAACTTCTATCGTTTCTCCCTTAGGAATTCAATCGTCGTACGGCAATTCTGACTGAGGTTTTACAACTCCGTAACTAGATTAGGTTGCTTTCCAGGTAGCCTATGTTGCAATCGGATTCATAGCTGTGTATCTGATGATTGGAAAAGATGCTGGGCTTTTGTGCAATTTGATTGGTTTCGTCTATCCTGCAATCGCCTCAATTATAGTTCGTTTCCGCTGAAATGTTAAATTTTCCGCTGTTTCAAAAAACGGGAATGCACCTGAGAGATTTTCATTTCACTGGATCTTGATAAATCTGGATATCGTGATCAATTGAATGAGTTCAAGGCGATGGAAATGGATATAAGATACGACATATTTTTGTGGCTGTTGTATTGGATGTGCTACGGTCTATATGCCATTCTTGATCTATACGCTGAAACAATTATGGATGTACTGCCGATTTATTGGCTTTCCAAGGTTTGTGATCGCTGAAAGCTAACTGGTAAACTGGGTGAATGCTGGTGTTTGCGACTATTCAAAAATTTGAGCAATAAGAAATGGGAGTGATATGCAAGAGTGTTCCACTACTTGAAAAACGTTCTCCCTGCGGATGTTTTATTATCATTAAGTCAAAATTTGACGTGAATTTCACGTACCCACTGAAAATGCAGTCGAATTAGTAGTTCCATTGTTTCGCATCTTTCGTCAGCTCATTTCTCTGATTGTGAATTACCTAGCACTTCTGAGGCAGATTTTTGAAAAACATTGATCAGGAACTTAAGAATTTCTAATTTGGTGATCAATT